CCCACGTTAGCAAGATAGATCAATGTTAGGCTGCACAGAATGATTTAGAGGAAATAGAAAATGGAGAAGGGTAAATCTAATGGCCTGCCTCATGGTCTAGTTTGTGCCATAGTTGAACCTGCAATATTGCATTGGCATCAGTACATTACAGTGTTAACATGCACACTGGAGGATGCTCTGAGCAAAATGAATCAAGATCTCGAAGACAAAATGGACTGTAAAAGCTGGGGTAAGCAAAGCACAACACCCATTCACCCAGTGAGGAGCAGGGCAGGACACAACAGCACCTCCACAGTCAGACAGAGCAAATGCTCATGATACAAGTAAGCATGGGTTGCTGGCTTGGAATATAGACAAGGATTGTTTGGGTCTGAATCCTACTGAGTCCAGGTCCACAAGTGTCTTCATTCAGTGAAAGCGGAAGGAGATCTGTTGCCTGTGACACATGTGCCAAGATGAAGCAGAACTCCTAACGAATGCCACTGGAGGGACAGTTGCACAGAAGCTCCTGTGAGTGGGTGTATGTCTTCCTCTTGCACTTGTTATTTTTATGTTGAACTTACTCTGCAGCGACGCTTCTGCTTGTGGTCTGTGTGGATCTGGACATTTCATGCAGTCCAAAGCTCTGGCATTTCCTTTGGAGCCCAGTGGAAGACTTTACAAGGAATCAGTTGGCTATAAATTTTGTATTTCGCAGTCCTTGGCTAATACTGGCATGCTTCTTGCTTTGCGCACATGCTATTCACAATTGCTTACTTCCATTCAGTCTCCCCTCTCTATACGTGGGGAAGAAAATCAGGCTTTCAGCATTTATTTCTGATATACCCACTGTTTCCCAGCTGCATTTCTCTATTCCCCCAAGGCAAATCCCGCGCAGGAGCATGAGAGACTGACCTGTTCTTCAGCAGCTCCTGCTAGCTCAAGGGGTGATCTTCCTCCAAAAGCCTTGAAAGCATTCAAGCCATATGAATCAGTGAGTTAGTCTGGGACAATTCCACTGGAGAATGAGACGTAGGCTTGAAAAACGTAAGGTTAAATTTCATTAGCTAATACTTTACTAGGCTTTCCATGGTTCTAACTTATTTTGCATGAGACATCCAATTTACTCACAGAGAAGACTTTTGCTTCAGTGCTCACTATATAAGTACCTGTGTTGAAGCAGTCACTGTTGGAATGAGGCTTTAGAATGCAAGTTTGGGAAACGTACGCAGAGAAACCAGTCAGGTCCTGAAAGGTCTTGCTGAAAGCCCTTTAAACTTTTGTAAGAGACAACATTTGGTGTAAGAGATGTCAGCATAAAACTGTAGCGGTAAGTGTATAATAGGTTATGTTTAACACATGGAAGACAAAGTTTCTGTAAGAGAAGCAATGACAATCTTGAGAGGCATTCATTATGGAGGCTGAGATGTTTGAAAACGAGGCTTCAGCAGCAATTTAGCATCCTATAGCTTGGCAATATAATATAATATAGCATCTTGTTTACCAGGCCAAGATGTGATTTTCCAAGAACCTCAAGCTGGTATTCATTAACATGGGTTCTGATGTTAGGAGCAGTGTCAATACTGCACACCAGAAGAAGGCACACCAAACTGACCACAGAAAATGGACTGAATAATGGTTGTAAAAAATAAAATTGCCATGGAGCCACAGTCAAAACAGAACAGAGGTAATTTCCTCATCACGATGAAGTGTTATTGTCTCGCTCTTGTCAGAGCCAAAGACGTTGAGTCTAAGAACGGCCCCTGTTCTCTGCTAGAATATTTACTTGGTTTTGTTAAAGCAGTACATTAAATTTGTATCTTCTTGTTGTCTACCATACCTGCAGTACTTCCTACAATAAATTTGGTACCTTTTTTATGACTGTTTAGAAAGACAATTAAAACCAGTTATTTGGCCTATCTTTATATAATTAAACATTACCTATGCTTTTCTTGCCAGTTACCATCTTCATCACGTAGCCCGCAGGATAAAGATCTCGCAATAGATTTCAAAGAGTATAAAATGTATGCTAAACTTTGCAAACCGACACTACACACTATCAGTGTGTTACTGGCTTTGTATTAACTCTGCATGAGACACCTTCTGATACCAAGCCTGTGCTGACAGAGCAAATAGGTATCATAGAATCATAGAATGGTTTGGGTTGGAAGGGACCTTCGAAGCTCATCTAGTCCAACCCCCTTGCCATGGGCAGGCACATCTTTCACTAGATCACGTTGATCGAAGCCCTGTCCAACCTGACTTGGAACACTCCCAGTGATGGTGCATGCACAACCTCTCTGGGCAACCTGTTCCAGCGTCTCACACCCCACATTGTAAAAAATGTCTTACCTCCAACCTTTATCTATCCTCTCAGTTTAAAACCGTTGCCCCTTATCTGGTCATTACAGACCCTGGTGAAGAGTCTCCCTCCATCTTTCTTGTAAGCCCCCTGTAAGTCCTGAAAGGCTGCAACAAGGCATCCCTGGAGCCTTCTCTTCTCCAGGCTGAACAACCCCACCTCTCTCAATCTGTCCTCATAGGAGAGGTGCTCCAGCCCTCTGGTCATCTTTGTGGCCCTCCTCTAGACCTCCAACAGGTCCATGTCTTTCCTGTGCTGAGGGATCCAGAGCTGGATGCAGTACTCCAGGTGGGGTCTCACCAGAGTGGAGTAGAGAGGGAGAAGCACCTCCCTGGACCTGCTGGCCACACTTCTTTTGATGCAGCCCAGGATACGGTTGGCATTCTGGGCTGCAAGTGCACATTGCCAGCTCATGTCCAGCTTTTCATCCACCAGCACCTCAGGTCCTTCTCGGCAGGGCTGCTCTCAACCCCTTTGTCCTCCAGCCTGTTGTTGATACTGGGGGTTGCCCAGATCCAGGTGCAGGACCCTGCACTTGGGCTTGTTGAACCTCATGAGGTTCACAAGGTCCCACTTCTGGAGTTTGTCCAGGTCCCTCTGTATGGCATCCCGTTCCCCAAGTGTGTCGACCACACCACTCTGCTTGGTGTCGTCTGCAAACTCAATCCCACTACCTTGTATCATTGATAAAGATATTACATAGTATTGGTCCCAGTACAGACCCTTGAGGGACACCACTTGTTACTGGTTTCAATTTGGACATTGAGCTATTGAGTAAATCTTTGGACGCGGCCACCCAGACAATTCTCTATCCTTATCTAGCATCACCATCTAGCCTTGCATATGAAAATGAAGAATTTATAACAGAAATGTGTAAGAAAAAACACTAACTATGCTCTGTGCCATAGTGTCCTGTGACAATGTAAGTACTCAGTATATGAAACAAGAAAATCAACACAATTATCTTTATATGTCACTAGAGAATGTAAAAAAAAAAAAAAAACCCACAAAAAACCCAAGGGGGATTGAAAATGGAAACCCAGAGACAACTCTGTCTTAGAATATCCACATACAAACTTTATGGCTCCAATCCATTTCACCAAAACTGTCCAGGGGGCAAAGACAACAACAATGAAAAGCATTTTTAAGGTCAGCCATCTGATTTGGCTAGATATTAGAGGTATTAAAAGGCATGTTAAATCCGTAGCCTTCTTCCAGCCCAGTCAAGCCTCAAGCTCTGGCTCCTGCAATCTAAGAAGTTCTTTAAAAACCACCTGAAATATGGAAAGTCGATTAACCTATTTTCCCCAGTATTTGAAAAGCACCTGTACTGGTTTTGCTACATTTTGCTATATGTCCAAATCTACAGGCGTTCACAGCAGGATGTCTAACAGAATAAGACTAGCAAGCCCTCAATAAAAACCACCTGCTTTCTTTTTTTTTTTTTCTTTTTTTTTTTTTTTACTTTACTGTATGAATACGTAGCTTTCATGTTTCTTATCTTTCCCTTGCTTGGCTTGGATGCCATTCTGATTAACTTCTGTCTCAGCAGCCCCTGTTTTTTCAGGGACTTAGAACCTTAAGTCCTAAGCAGCACAGTATTTTCTAAAAGTGGTGTTTACAAGGTATTACCACCAACCTGTTCCATGAATGGCAAAAGTCATTGTCAGATAAACAGAATTCACTCACTAATGAGTAGAAGTAAATTAAAAAAAAAATATTTCCACACAGTTTGGAGAAGCATAGGTTTAATTTGTTTTATTTACTAGACATGAAGCAGATTACTTTATTGAAGTAAAATTGTATTAAAAAAGGAAATGCACACATTCAAAGCACTCGAGCACATTCATCACTTAAAACAGCAACTAAACCCAGAGTTGTTCAGATCAGTGAAGCAGTAAAAGGCCAGTACAGTGTTCAGAACACTGGCAGCAAAGTCCTTTTCTGTACAGTTCTGTAAGTCACATAAGTACATCTTCAGGCACAAATTTGGCTTAGGCATTATCTAAATTTTTTAAATGAGAACATTCATTACGCAACTGCGGCTGTGAAAGAACCACCACAGTTATTAAACCATGTCTTCTAGCACACAAACAAAAACGATGGCTATTTTTTTTAAAAAAAAACTGAAATAAAAAATATGGATAATGTACAAAAATAGTATAATTTTATTTTGAAACTGTCTGCAGTTTTTCTGGTATGTTTCTGAAGTGAAATGTAACCATTTGCCTTGTTGAAGGAAAAGACAGGAGGCAGAAATAGCAAAGCAAATAGCACGCGTGAATCTGCTTTCTTAGATCTTACTTTATGAAACTGCAACAGAGTATTACCTAGCCTTTCCTTTCTTTAGTCAACTAAACAGTATCACCGCATAGAGGATGACAACTCACTACTGACTTTCTTTTTCAGCCACTGTCTGATCCAGCTTGACAGTAACGCTATTCCAAGTTTAAAATATACTCAAAATCTAACTTTAGCCATCTTATACATCATCAAGGATGACAAAATTACATAAGCTGTCTTATACATTATCATTGGTCAACATTTACTCCATTCTTTTATGCTTGTAACAATTTTTAAAGATGTTATAACCTCTGGAAGTTCGAAAGTGATCCCCTCTTCCTTGTGAGCACCCAAACTTCAAGGCCCATCCAGGTTGTTACTGCTTTGGCAGGATGACCGAACACTGCACTGTTGTCTGAAATACAAAGTCAAAGTAGATGAATGTTTCCTCTGACAATGCAAAGTAGAATTACTTTTCAATGTAAAGGCAGACTACATAGCTTCCATTTGGATTACAAACAGGTGTCATTCTTTCCATGTGCACAATATCCCCAACTTCCTCCAACACCACAAGTGTTGAAAGAATTACAGGGAGGGCATACCCTACAACAGTTCAACAACTTGTCATTACAATATTTTAAAACTATGTAAAAGGCTTACTGGTATTGAGAACGACAATCTGTATTGGGTTTGCGTGGAAATGTTTTGGTAGCAGGAGGCCTACAGGGGTGGCTTCTGTGAGAAGCTGCTAGGAGCCTCACCCATGTCCAATAGAGCCAAGATAGACCCACCACTGGCCAAGGCTGAGCCCATCAGTGATGGTGGTAGCGCCTCTGTGAGAACACATTTAAGAATGGGGAAAAAGCCCCTGCGTAATGGCAACTGCAGCTGGAGAAAAGAATGAGAATATGTGAGAGCAATAGCCCTGCAGACACCAAAGTCAGTGAAGAAGGAGGTGCTCCAGGCACCGGAGCAGTGATTGCCCTGCAGCCCGTGGTGAAGACCATAGGCTGGCTGTCCCCCTCCAGCACATGGATGTCCATGGTGGAGCAGATATCCACCTGCAGCCTGTGGAGGACCCCGCAATGGAGCAGGTGGATGCCCCAAAGGAGGCTGTGATCCTGTGGAGAGCTCTCAGTGAAGCAAGCTCCTCAAAGGACCTGTGGGGAGAGGAGCCCATGCTGGAGCAGGCTTGCTGGCAGGATCTGTGACCCACGCTGGAGCAGTTCATGAAGAACCGTAGCCCATGAGAAGGACTCACACTGGAGAAGTTTATGGAGGACTGCCTCTGGTGGGAGGGACCCCACGCTGGAGCAGGGGAAGAGAACAAGAATGAAAGAGTGGCAGAAACAATGTGTGATTAACTGACCACAACCCCCATTCCCCATCCACCTCCGCCACTTTGGGAGAAGAGGTAGAGAAAATCAGGAGTGAAGTTGAGCCTGGGAAGAAGGGAGGGTAGGGGAAGGCGTTTTTTAAGATTTGGTTTTCTTTCTCATTATCCTACTCTGATTTGCTTCACAATAAACTAAATTAATTTCTCTAAGTCAAGTCTGTTTTGCCTGTGATGGTAATCGCTGAGGATCTTTCTGTCCTCATCTTTACTCATGAGCCTTTCATCGTATTTTTCTCCCCCGTCCAGCTGAGGAGGGTGTGTGATAGATCGGCTTGATGGGCACCTTGCGTTTAGCCAGGGTCAACCCATCACACAATCATATTGCAGAAACACTAAATTAAGGACTTTAGGCTCACAGGCTACAAATGAAAAATTGCACAGCTTGCTCTTAATTTTTAAGGCTAGCATATGGGCTTACATGCATCACATTCACAGAAAGGTCTTCACAAATATAATCAGAATAGTCTGAAAATGAAGTTCCTTAAAAAGGGTGATTTCTACATGTTTCTTCATCACTTTTGAAGAACAGCTCTCAAGAACAGAAACCTTTCTCTTAAGGTGCACTGATTGGGAGTGAATGAAGTACTCATGTTATGGAGAGACAGGCAACTTTGACATCAGCCACATTCAAGGGTAGGGCCTGAGAAATACTTCAAATTCAGCTTTCTTAAGAGGTGCTTATTAGCCTCAAGGACCACAGTATGTAGACCAATGCAACTACAGTTGTAGTGAAGCCTTGATGAAATTTGCCCCTCCACCTTATTCACGAGAGCCAGTTCACTCTAGTCACATAAATACATTCACTGGTTTCACTGAGATATTTTTGAGGAAGAAAATTACTCAAGAGTATTTACAAGATCAGAGCTCTAGACAAGCAAATTATAAACGTCAGTTTCAGTTTGTGATAGACTAGAAAAAATGACTGAAAAATGTTAACCTTTATGCCCTTCAACTTGTTAGTTACCAAACATATTAATGACCAAGTATGCCAAGGCAGAAGTGTGCTGAAACGTATCTACAGATACCTTGCCCAACCTAAACTATCCCACAGTATTCATTTACCACAGCTCCTTTATCAAAGTACATTATTTCTTGTATCAGAGGTCTGACAAATATCATTTTACATAGGCTAGTACAGAAGTTCAAAAAAGGCAGTTAATATCGGTAGGTCTCCTCGTAGAGTCCAGAAGTGTATCTGAAGAGCGTTCACAGAAGCTCTGACACCTTACCACAAGCTGATTTTCTTACACCCATGCGGTAAGAAACATCAGTTCTAACATGACATTCTTTTATTGTCCCAGTACAGATTCTTGCCCAATCTTCATGGGGTTGAACCTCACTGTAATAAAGGTACAGAGCTCAATTTGCAGTTGTTATGAGTTCAAATTCTTCTCAAAAAGACAGTTTTTCTTCTCACCAATACTTTTCCTAACAAAGATAAAAAAGAACATACTATACTAGTTCCCTTTTGAAATTGTCTGCTGTCCCTGATTTGTTTACTTCAGTCAGCAATGAGCCCATGCTTTACTCGATCAGCTTTTGACACTAATGCAGTGGCTGAAGTTCTTGTTGCTTTTGATGTTCTAGTGTCAGCTACAGAAAAGCGTCCGTTTTCCTGAAACCATCCCTACATGCCTGTTCCTGCTTCTTCTCGACTCCTTCTTTGTAGCTTGTCCCTGCTTCCAACCCTTGAATGCTGCATTTTCGCACTGGAGCTGTTTCCTGTTTAGTCAAGTCAGTCTCCTGATTGGTCTTTATGTGGATCCCTCCTGTGCTTGGACAATGGTGCCTTTAAAGACCTGCGAGCTTTCTGGAGCTCCTTGCCCCTTCAGACCTGCCTCCCATGAGATGATACCTACTAGTCCACTGGTTAAACCCAAGATGCTCCAGCATCTGTACCCTGATACTTGCCTTCCTCACTCCCCACAGGATGCTGAACATCACTATTTCATGAGCATTACAGCAACAACTGCCAGTGATTATCACCTCAGTAAATAACTCTTCTCAGAGAACAGAAGATCCAACTGTACATTACCCATGGTTGACTCATCCTATCCAGCAATTTCCCTGACACCAGCCAGAAATCACTTGGACCACTGTGATCAATAGCACCATCTGTGTTCCCTGATCCATGACATAAATACAATGCGGTCATACCCTGCTCTGAAGGAGTAAGGGCTCTGTACCCTGGGCATGCCTCAAAATGACAGGCTGTAGGATGATGCCATGCATGTAGAAAAGTTTGCCCCAAAGTTTTTTCTGGCGAATGCAGCAACAAAGCCAGGAAACACTAGCCTAAAGACATCTTAGGCCATTAAAAAATACTAACATTCAAACTACACTTAAACTCTCTGGCATGTCTCAGATGAAAAGACACATGAAAAGGAATGGATGGGTGGCAGGCAGCCTATCCTATCCTTCAGCAGAAAACCAGCCCTTTGACATTTTTGCTTCAACAATCCAGGGTTTCCTAAAGACTCCTGTGAGATTCAGAGGTGACACTACCACATGTGTGTGGGTAGGATGCATATCTCCATGGGAGGAGACTAAATGCAGCTGGGCAAATAGACTGGCAGCGTATTTTCTCCTGTCTGGTGAAGTTCCTCCAGTCAGAGCAGCCAGATTACAGATCTCAGAAAGGAAAAGTTGTGTCCATGTAGAGCTGAATGGTTTCATGTGGTTCCTCAAACACTACAGACAAACACTGGCTAATGCCTATTTGAGGTGCCCAGCTGCAGCCTGGATGTAGGCTGGCATGGCTTTACATCAGCACTGATCGGCAGAGTGCTAGCTGCAGTCTTGTTCAGCTCCCTTGTCCACATTCCTTACTACATTACCACAGGACATGCAAGAAGCGCTGCCTTCTAGTTCTAGGAAAAGGTGCCTCCGAAAAAGATCATTTCAAAAAACCGCATCATACGACTTTCAAAATTCCAGGTTAAAATACACAGAAGAACACTTCACATCTACAAAGAGAACAGTCTTTTTTAAAAATCTTTATGGTTCAACTACACACTAGTACAGAGGCACATACATATATATATATCTTTGCTGTATTGCACAATTGCCTTTCTCCTTATTCACTAACACAGAAGCCTAGGACCAATCTTTCATCTACTTTACCACCATTTAATGCCTCAGAAAGATTTTCAGCCTTTCCTGCCCTTCCTAAGTAAAATCAGGGGAAGCCTCCAAAGCCTCAGACTTTCCTGTCACTTTTCCAGAGTACTTGGTTGCATTAAATCAGAAACAATTGTGACTTGTACTCTCCTGACATAAAATCTCAAGCTCCACTGGCAATATCTAGTCTCTGTTTCCAGTTCTTCTAATACCTTCAGATCAACTCATTTTCTCAGTATATTATCACTCAAACCAACCCACTATCAGCAAAGAGCATAAACACATAAGAATTGCCAAGTCAAAGTGAAACTATCTCAATATTCATCACTGATACCAGGTAGTAGCAGATGCTTAAGGGAAAACAGTGCAAGAAGCTACATTAGAATGGAGTGACCCTTCCTCTGGTGCATCATATTTTCTTCTTTAAGCAAACCATAGCTGTGGGACTGAGCTGGAGGAAGCACTTGAATCGGTGGTCTAAACAGCTGACAGCTGACAATGAACAGCTGACAAAGAAGGGTTCGTGTTCATTAAAGGGGAACCTTCCAAACTCAGTGCCAGCTCTTTCCAGTCACCTGCTCTTTCACTCCCGATGAAGACTCAAGGCAATCATACAAGGGAAAGCAAGAGGACGCTGCTTACTGAATAAGACCTGCCAGAATTGGAGGCACATTCCTCAGTACCTAAGCAGTGTATGTATTTGGGAAATTTCTCTGTATGCCAGCATGACCAAAGTAGCTGAGCAACATCTAGCACATTTTTCAGATTATTTGTTCAAACTCTGTTTTTCTTTCGTATAGCCAGGCATCTGTATTAAACAAAATGTGTGGCCCAGTCCTCTGAAAATGTTTTCTGTGTATTAGAGGGGAAAAGGAATACTGATTCTGTTGTCTCCCTTATCCATCCATGACACGATTTCCTAAAGACTACAAAGGGGAAAGGGAAAAGTGAATTACCTCTCACAAATGTAGAGGGGACATTAATATAGCTGTTTCAGATAACCAGGTGAGGAATAGTCACAAACGTAATCCAAGGTCTCTTAATAAAAAGTAGGTTTTCTAGTGAAGACTCAGTAAAAGACTAATTTCAAGGATTTGGGTTGGACCTCCACAAACCTGACCTGGTCAAGTATGCTTAAAAGTGTCTGGGGCAAATTTTCCTTTACATGTCTTTCCTTTAGGATACTGACTAAACTAGAGTTGTCACTGACAAGAAAACCATATTGGAAACAAAATGGAAAATTTTATCCCAGTCAGAAGACACAGAAGGTTTTTACAGCACATACAGTTCTGCTGATAGTTGAATTTCAGGGGCAATACTTCAGGTATATGAAGACGTGACTTATGTCTGTGTTCACCTTTCCTACCCATTCAAATTTCAGTCAACACAGTGATTTTCAGAAAAAATAAAGAACGAACCTACGAGAGGAGAGTTATCAGAGACTGGGCTCTCTCAAAAGTTTCCTCAACAGGCTTTCTCCTTTTCAGACAGCTGTTGCCTCCACTAACAGAGACCCTTGTGGTCCACTTCTGTCTGCTTTCTGTCTTTCACATTCCAATTCTCTTTCCCCGTCCCTCACATCATCTCAACGTAATTCTCAGCTCCTCTCAGACTTCACGCTCCTGTATTCTTGGAAATGCCTATTTGTCACAAAAAGCTTGCTGAGAAGTTGGATAGACATCCAAACTATTTTAACATTGTTCTTTCCCTCTCCCCCACAGCCAGAACATGCCTGTGAAACAGAGGTGATGTAAAATATATAAATAAACTCTTGTCTAAGAAAAATTCTGCGTAAAAATTCCCTCACCAGTATATTGTGGTATGTTTTTCTTTTCCATGTTTGTTTTTTCATGCACTGTGGATCTGAAGCCTATGGGACAACACAGTTCTAATAATTTCAACTGGGTTATTACCTTTATCTTGTAATAGACTCCTCTCCTTCTACACATTAAAGGGCACAATGGTTTTGATTTGGTTCAGTTTCCCTGCTTGGCTCTCCATTGTCCTAAGACGTAAACTAAAGCTGAGCAGAGGTACAGGTTTTTGATGCAGATACTCACATAGATTTGTATCTTACCTGTGCTATGAAGTGTAACACTTCATCAACCATACACAGATGTCCTTAATTTTTTTACCTTTTGCAAGACTTCTTGTAAAACTGAAACTAGATTTTTGCCAGAAAGCTTGTGAGAGTCTTAATGAATTTGTTTGCCCACCTTGAATGGCTCTGGTTTGTTGAAGGATCTACTCTAAGAAGTTATGATTTAAGCACAAACACCTTGGAACGTATACCTATATTATGTGTATATATGCATACACTGCCCCCCGTACTCATCAGTCTCATGTGTGTACTTACTTTCAGGGTGTGCAGGGTGTCGGTCCATTCCATGGAACCTATCTGAGGTATAGCAGTGAGGAGTATGCTAGTAGCCTTATTTGCATTCCCTTTCAGCGTCTTTAAAACTTTATCCACCGACACCTAGAAATACAATAAAACTGAGTGGTGTCTCTCAATTTTGGTGGCACGCATTTTCAATACTCAAATAAATTCATTTAACTCATACATCTCTAAGTGAAAAGATGATGCCTTAAAATGCCACAATCATTTTAGTCAGTAAAAAATGCTTTCCTCTGTGGGTGTATGTCTGATTATATCTTACACAAATAGGAGAACCAAAGCAGATACATAATTTTGCACAGAGCTGCGAAAGAAAAAAAAAACAAACAGACCAATTATGGAAAGACAAGCTCATACACAGAGCTGATAAGCTTCATACACACAGACTCCATGATTCAGACAAGAGGAGACAAAAGGTTTGCTAGTAGTGAGGCAAGTTTATGAAAATGAATTAGGTAGCAACAATTGATTGTGTTCTTACTTTTGCAGTGGTTCATCCAGAATAACTCACTGATACTGATATAAGTAAGAACAGACGTATTTCAGTATGTGACTTTTTAGCAAAACCTACAGGTTCTCACCCAGATCCCTCAGGACAAGACCCAGAGGAAAAAAAGTTTCACTCACCGCTTCTTCATGTTCCTTCCAGCAGTCGTAATCTGTTGCCATGGCAATACTAGCATAACTCATTCCAGCTTCTTTTGCAAGAATCACTTCAGGCACTGTGGTCATGTTGATAACATCAGCTCCCCAGCTGCGAAACATCAAGCTTTCTGCTCGTGAACTGAAACGTGGGCCTTCGATTGTGATCATTGTCCCCTTGGAATGACACTGGAGCCCAAGCTTCTTGGCAGTCTCAATCAGAACCTGCAAAACATGCCGACATCAGGAAAAGAAAATAATTCCCCTGGTGCACTGCTTTTGCATCCCATCAAAAAGCTCACATACAGAAGAAATTAGCTCTGTACAAAGCAATAAAGCTTTGTATGGCTACCACTGTCCAAAACCACAGATCAGTTTCAGTTTCCTTATCCAGCAAGAGAAATTAAATAGTCCTATTAACAGGAATGATCTTGAACTCATCTGATTTTGTTAGTATCAGTTGGATTACTGTTTTCAATGCAGACCAAGAAGACTGGAAAACAGAAAATTCTCGCATGATATTTACGCTGTGCTTCCATTGCAAATAGAATGGTGAAAATGCTTCACTGAGCACTACATTACCACATGGTGGAGTTGAGCTGGTGAGAACAGTAATAGGAAATTCACTTTTCAAAAGTAAAACTTTACAATCATATACTTCAAAGAGCACCCTAGGAATCTGCAGAGAAATTACCACCACATTACCAGTGATTGAGCTGTACACTTTACCATGTACTTCACATTAGTCTTTACAGCTGCAATTACGACATTGTATATGGCAGAATCGTCGCGACTTTCTCTCTTGCTAAATGGCCTGGCTAACACCAGTTGATACAGTCGGAATAAGAGTAAATGGGACTAGGATACCCGCAACTATCCTGAGTAAGAAGGGGAAAGTAACTAGGTTGATATCTGTTTAAAATGACCATTGGCAGAAAAGGAAAGCTTGAAAAGCAGCATGAACAGGAGAGACCATAACACAGAAGCAATGAAAACCTAGTCTGACACCACTAGAAGCTGCCTTGCCAGCATCATGACCTTCAGGATGGTCATGAAGGTGGAGCAGCCTCCCTGCAAAACGCTGTGAGAAGCCTGACCTCCTGCTGGTTGGTCCACCCACCATACACGGACGCGACAAGCAGCAATACCTTGAGTGTGCTACGTGACCTTGTGGGATGGCTCCTGGCTGGCATGTGGGATCAGTGGATTGCATAGAGCAGCACCAGCACACATGAAGCTGTCATACTCACATCTCCCACCGCAGATGCGTGTAAACAGGTAAACCTGCAACTCCCAGAAGAGGGTAGGTGCGCAGGTAACCCCCGTGTGCTGGAGAAGGGTACTTGTGCATGCAACTATGTGAATATGCATGTAAGGGTAAAACAGAGCTTCTGGGGATTAGCCACAGAAGGACATTTAGAAATCTGTAGGTGTCTATTAACATGCTGTAAATTAATCTAATATTATTCACACCCTAACATTGTGATTTATTACTGGTATTCATTCTGGATGTATGATTCACTGATTGCCAGTTAATTATACATGGTTAATAAATCAACAGACAACTTGTTATTTGACTTAAACCACAGCTGAGTAGTATTTCCCTGAAAATCTTTACAAAGTTCCAATTTTAGTCTCTCTAAGATGTTGCAGTAAGCCCCAGTTTCTGACCGCAGTAATAACCAAGGCGCACCATGTTATTCAAGAGTTTGCAGTTAGAGAAAAGATAAATTCTTTTCAGAGTCTCATTTACTTTACAGTGCATAAACCAAATACACCAGAGTATTTTCACGTATTTACACAAATACAATTGAATATAAAGTTTTCAGATGTTTTCATGCAAAATTGCTTAATTAGTCTGTTCATTACATGAACAGTTTTGGCTTTATTATTACCGCATTTATCTATGAAATTCCCCTGAATTAGGACAAACTGGGCTGAAATGATCCCAACAATTTTCAGGAATAGTTCCAGGAAAAAAGTTTAAGTTGTTTTTATTTGGTATTTTCAAATGAAGTGAAAGTATCCCTTTTCAGCCTTGCTAAGAGCTCAAACCCACATGTTCTTTAAAACATCTGTTAGGCTGATTAAAGCGCATAGGCTAATGAGATAATGATCACATGTGAGACTGGGAAGTACCTAAATGTTTTTTCTGTGTTTGAAAAGGAGCATTTCTCTGTTGGCTTTTCAAAGAATGTAATACTCAAAGAACGTTGTCTCTAGCTACTTAACAATTGAATGAAAACTAGCCTTGGCGTATGTTTCCTGCAACTTCAGGAAATGGCTTATGCATATCTACTTACCTTTTATTAAAAAAAAATGAGAGAGACAGCATGAAGTACTGCCAATTACTTCAGTAATAACACTGTTTTTAAACCACTTCAGAAAGTGTACAGTTAGCTCTCAATAAACCTCTTGTATCTGTTTTGACATGACATCATGCTCAAAGTCAGTAAGCAACTATATGCCAACTAATCTTTGGTAAGAGCACGTGGCCAGGATCTTGTTGCATGAAAAATGCAAAGTATATTGCATAAGTTGCTGCTCAATGGAATAAGGGCAAAAGCATGCACATGTACAATATGTAATGGTTTGCGCCCTCATGAGATTTAAAATGTCTTTACTTCATTGCAAAACACTTTGATTCCCAGTGCACTGAAGCACTGTTCCACTAACAGTGCTGTGGGCCCGCTGGTTGATACCTTAAAACCACATGGTATCTGGCCAATTAACAAAAATAGCCTACAATGACACTGAAGTGAACTGGTGACTACCGCAAAATAGCTCAGTAGTGTAAATATTTATACATACCCTGGGTACAGTTTGGGCCACCTGCTTCACAATACAACTTTGTCCTGCTCAGTGTAGCAACTAACTACAGTAACTAACAGAGAGCAAGCCTCTTGGACGGGTATGACTGATTTTGTAAGTGTTCCTGTGCCCTGCAGAATGTACCTCCCTGCAGCTTCTGATCAGAGCACTCCACAACAGCACAAAATGTGCTTCACCTTCCCTTTTCCTCAGGTCTAAGAATATGCTAAGGTGGGGTATTTAATCACAGATACACTCCTCCCAGAAGCTCATAAAGATGCTGAAAAACAGAGCAGTGTTTCACACTGCTTAGTCTAAGTGGCTTTGAAGCGTACAAATCTTGAAGTGACAAAACTAAGAGCAATGGTGAAGAATAAAAGGCTACTGTAATTTGGCTTGTTTATATGTTTAACATCCTGTAAACTAAGCCTTGACTCCACCACCACCCACTGCTACAACACATAAAAGCAGAAGTGCAATATTGTAATTTATGTGAATGCTAAAGTACTATTTATTTAAGTATTTGTATGAAGTATGTAGAGTGCCTCTACCATAGGTGCAGTTTTATTGCGAACAAAAAGGAACTAATTCCTAATTCTATCTTCTTGCTGTGTCCACTTTGTTGCTCTCCTGGCTTGTTACCTGATAAATAAAGATCTTTTGTCCTGTTATTAAGACCCTGCAGGAATCTAGGTTTCCAACTAACAGCTTCTGCATACCTCCCTTAGGAAGACAGCTCCTGCAGACACCATATCTTTTACTTCCCATGCTTTCCAAATGTTACACTTTTCCTTGAAACCATGACATATCTGAGAGACAGGAATAAAGAGGTGCAGATTGCCTATGTGCTCTAAGAATGCATAATTAGACTACTATATAACGAATAAGTGCCATGAAACCAGCAGTTTTAAATACTATTACAAAAGTCACTAACCTCTCTGGTTTTGGTGCAGAATGGCTCTGCCATTGGAATATGACATACTCCTGAAAGACTGGAATGTTGTCCGTCGTATAAAGTACAATGTCTTCTAGTTGTCCTAGAAAAGCAGAAAATATGCTCAGAGACAAGAACAGGGTGAAATCAGAAGAGAAAGCAAGAAATTGACACAAATCCAAAACCGGAGCACCCCTGGGTGGGAATATCACTATGATATTATCACTATTATCACTATGACCACGTGTAATCCTGGCATACAAACCTGTCAGAATTGAGCTCGAGAGTATAAAACTGTTACTTCAGTAGTGCATTGTCAATTCATTAGAGAAAATCTATTTTTAACAAGATGCTGAAATGCTGATTTGTTCCTAAATGACACAAACAGCTTTTAATAGTCAGGCAAGTAATCTCTGAAAAAAACAGCACAGTAAGCTTTCAGGAAGAGAAGGGATCAAGTGTGAATTACCACAAAGCTAGTCAAAACAGAGCTTGATTATATCATTGCATTCTTACATTGAAAGGATGGGAACTTATAGGAACAGCTTCCTGAACAAGGGAGGTGTGAATTCAAGCAGAAAAATCCTGGAACAGAATGTCTTCATATTCTCAGAAAGATTACACACATGCATCGATAGCTTCCAAGCAGACGTATCCCTTTTCTTCCTTCTTTCAATTGAGAAACTGTTACCTTTCATGAAAATGGTCAAACGTGCTAGAGAAATTACCATTCACCATGCTATTTTCACAACTACTGGAACTGCTACCCACTATCACTTCACCTTCAAATGCACTGCCTCAAGCTAATTCAGCCAACTGGATGGCAACAACCCTCTGAAACAAAATTCTTTGAGATATTCCCTTTTTCCTCCCAGTATGTCACATATTGTACTTTATAAGAGAAAAGCACGAAAACAGCCAACTTCAATCCATAGCTAATATACAAAATTTCTGCTGGTAATACTGCTCACAACAGTTCCCCACCCAACTCACCAGCGAATATTTAAAAGAAAGTTTTAAATACAAGTTACATGTTAACAGTAGATTTGGGGAAAAAAAAAAAAAAAAGAGAATCAATAGTGTACCCTTAAGGATGAGATTATAAAATAGGAAAAGAGATCAGCAAATTAAAAACATACGCAAAATGGGATACAGCTGTTAGAATCAGTTGAAACACTAATATTAATTTTCCCTTTCTAGGATACTGAAGAGCTGCAAATAGAATGTATCTGATTTTATACACTTTTTTCAGTGTCTGCTAACGAATAATTCAGAATTGCAGGAAATGGGAAAAGCCATAATCGCTTTCCTGCATTACAGTATTTCAGATGTTGTTAGTAAGGCCCTTTCTCTCAGAAAAGTCAAGAGGAAAGATCGCATACGTACAAATACTAATATCTGACTTTCAGATACCCTGCGTCCTTTGGAGAGAACGGCCACATCACTACATGGTCTCATAAAGAAATCCCACAATGTTTAGCACCATACATACAAACTGCTTGGGAGTAAGTAACAATGGTAAGACCTAAGACTGCTCTGAGCAATGGACCGCATGTGTTTGCACTCAGAGAGCACCAATTTCTCTTCTGCATGGAAGGCTGCAACTCTGCAACAGCCACAGCTATTTGATATAGGCCAGCTGATGTAAGTTGCTAGTCTTAGGGTGAGAATAAAGGCAGATTTGAACCAATCTCTGATTTTTGTGTCTATGAAGTGATGGCTGGTACAGAAGAATGACTTTTAGGCTCTCCTCCTTTCTGTAGCCCTGCTGCTCAAGTCAGGAGTTGGCCATCCTGATCTGTCCCACTCACCTGTCTGTAAGCTACAGTGCAACAGCACCTGATTTTCACTGCTGCAATACCATTTCTCTGTATCCCTTGTAGAAAGAATGAAGGTTACAGAATCACAGATGCTTTTCCTTGCCTTACTCTCATGGAGACCAAGAGCCTGACAGCACAGGACAGTATCTGCCTGAGGCTCCTCTTACATTACAGGAGTTTCAAGACCTTCCCCACGTACCCTGAGTGACTCCTCATGGAGCCAGTAGGAAACAAGAAATAAGGAAAAGTTCGCATGCCCTCCATGAGATGGAGAGCCTGCTTAACAACAGAGAACAACTGAATGCTATACAATTGCCTGATTGTTTACATTAAAACAGGAAAGTCACCAAGTGCCTGCCTAGAAACTAGCCACACTACTCATAATAGAAGCGCACGATCCAGAATGATCAAGCATAGCATAACAGGAAAGTACAGACATGCTACCAGTGGGGGAGATCTGAAGCAGCCCCTGAAAGCACTGGACTGGTAACTACAAGCAAGCAGCGAAGAGATGGGGCTGCGCAGCTCCTGCTGGCTATCTGTATTGGGGCTGGCTGAGGTGGAGTTAATTTTCCCCGTAACAGTCCTGATAGTGCTGTGCTTTGTATGGGTAGCTAGAAAGGTGCTGATAACACACTAGTGCTTTGGCTGCTGCTGAGTAGTGCTGGCACAGCGTCAAGGCCATCTCTCCAATATTGCCCCTCTCCAGTAGGCTGGGGGTGGGCAACATCTTGGGAGGGGACATAGCCGGACAGCTGACCCGAACTATCCAAAGGGATATTCCATACCATATGACCTCTGCTCAGCAATAAAAGCTAAGAGAAAGGGGGTGAGGGGTGGGGCTGCTATTTATGACATTTGTCTTCCAAAGCAACCACTAGTGTACTGAAGCCCTGCTTCCTGGGAAGTGGCTGGACATCACCTGCTGATGAGAAGTAGAGAATAAATCTTCTGTTTTTCTTTGCTTCCACACACAGCCATTGCTTTTGCTTAATCAACTGCCTTTATCTTGACCCACAAGTTTTTTTCCATCTTATTTTCTTCACCCCCTGCTCCTGCTTAGGAGGGGAGTGATAGAGAGGCTTGGTGGGCTCCTGGCATCCAACCAAGGTCAACCCACCACACCATATGACCTCTGTAGGACTTTATGGAGAAGCCCCACTGGACCCTAATGCCACCTCTGTGCCAAACAGTGGATGGTAGTACAGGAGAAAAGGGAATTCTTTCCCTGGGAAAGGGGCACATAGGTGGGGGATGGAGATTCATGCAGCAGCAGAGATGTGAGGGTCACTGATGGGTTAGAAATTCTGACCATGCCTGAGAATGGTCAGGCAGGAACTGCTTCTCCCACCAGTAAAAAGGTGGAGGGATCAATAGCCCAACTGAAATGCTTCTACACTAATGCACGCAGCATGGGAAACAAACAGGAGGAGCTGGAAGCCATTGCGCAGTAGGAAAACTATGATGTAGTCACCATCACAGAAATGTGGGATGACTCACACAAATGGAGTGCTGCAATGGATGGCTATAAACTCTTCAGAAGGGAGAGGCAAGGAAGGAGAGGTGGTGGGGTGGCCCTGTATGTTAGGGAGCATTACGAATGTCTAGAACTAAATGATGGTGACAACAGGGTTGAGTATTTACAGGTAAGATTCACAGGGAGGACCAATAAGGCAGATATCATCGTGGGGGTCTGTTACAGACTGTCCACCCAGGATGAAGAGGCAGATGAAATATTCTATAAACAGCTGGGAGAACTCTCAAGACCGCTAGCTCTTGTCTTCGTGGGGGACTTCAACTTACCAGATGTCTGCTAGAAATACAATACAGCAGAAGGAACAGTCTAGGAGGCTCCTGCAGTGTGTTGGTGGTAACTTCCTGACACAGGCGGTGAGGGAGCCGACTAGGGATGGTGCCTTGCTGGACCTGGTGTTTGTAAACAGAGAAGGACTTGCAAGGGACGTGATGGCTGGAGGCCGTCTTGGGCATAGTGATCGTGAAATGGTAAGAGTTTTCAATTCTTGGAGAAGCAAGGAGGGGGGTCAGCAGAACTGCCACCTTGGACTTCCAGATGGCGGACTCTGGGTTTTTCAGGAGCCTGGCTGACAGAGTCCCTTGGGAGCCAGTCCTGAAGGGCAAAGAAGTCCAGGAAGGCTGGATATTTTTCAAGAAGGAAGTCTTAAAGGTGCAGAAGCAAGCCATCCACATGTGCCAAAAAACGAGCCATGAGGGAAAAAGACTGGCCTGGCTGAACAGAGACGTATGGTTGCAACTCAGGGAAAAAAGGAGAATTTATGGCTTTTGGAAGAAGGAGCAGGCTACTCATGAGGACTGCGAAGATATTGTGAAATTATGCAGGGAGAGAATTAGAAGGGCCAAAGCCCAACTAGAACTTGAACTGGCTTCTGATGTTAAAAGCAATAAAAAATGTTTCTATAAATACATTAGCAATAAAAAGAGGGCTAAGGATAATCTCCATCCTTTAGCAGACAGGGCAGAAACATAGTGACAAAGGATGAGGAAAAGGCTGAGGTACTTAACGCCTTCTTTGCCTCAGTTGTTAATAGTAAGACCAGTTATTCCCTGAGGAAAAATGTGGTCTCCCTCCCCTGAAACAGTTTACACATCAGCTTATCAACCCTCCTTCCTAACCATCCCTCTACAACCACGGCCAAAACACTCCACAGAAGTTTTGTCCAATGCTCAACATTTACTTTCTGCCATGCTTACATGCCAAGTGGGTAATTTACAAAAATGTATCAGGAAAGGCAGGTCCTGCTTGACAAACCTGATCTCCTTCTGTGACAAAGTGACCCACTTAGTGGATGAGGGAAAAGCTGTGGATGTTGTTTATCTGGACTTCAGTAAAGCCTTTGGCACCATTTCCCACAGCATTCTCCTGGAGAAAATGGCTGCTCATGGCTTGGATGGGTGTACTCTTTGCTGGGTGAAAAACTGTCTGGATGGCCGGGCCCAGGGAGTGATGGTGAATGGAGTTAAATCCAGTTGGTGGCCAGTCACAAGTGGTGTTCCCCAGGGCTCGGTACTGGGGCCGGTTCTCTTTAGTATCTTTATCAGTGACCTGGATGAGGGAACCGAGTGCACCCTCGGGAAGTCTGCAGACGACACCAACTTGGGTGGGAGCGTTGACCTGCTTGAGCGTAGGCTGGCACTCCAGAGGGAACTGGACAGGCTGGGATGAATGGTTGTGGCCAATGGTATGAGGTTCAACAAGGCCAAGTGCTGGGTCCTGCAACAACAACCCCATGCAGCGCTACAGGCT